TGTCTTTAACCTTTAGTGTTTTAATTATGATGTTTTAGCATGGGACTCTTTGGATTCATCTTGTTTGGGACTCTCTGTGCTTTCTAGGATTATATGTCTATTTCCTTCACCAGATTAGGGAAGTTTTCTGTCATTATTTCTTCTAACAGGTTTTCAATTCCTTGCTCACTTCTCCTCTGGTACCTCGATGATGCAAATGTTGGTACGCTTGATGTTGTCCTAGAGGCCCCTTAAAATAACCTTATTTTTTTGGATTCTTTTTTCTTTTTGCTGTTCTGATTTGGTGTTTTCTGCTATGTTATCTTCCAAATTGCTGATTCGATCTTCTGCTCTATTTGATCTACTGTTGATTTCATCTAATGTATTCTTCATTCCAGTTATTGTATTCTTCATTTCTGATTGGTTCTTTTTTATGCTTTCAGTCTCCATTTTTATGTTTTCTATCTCTTTGTTCAAATTCTCACCGAGATAATTGAGCATTCTTATAACCAGTGTTTTGAACTCTGCATCTGATAGATTGCATGTCTCCATTTTGTTTATTTAGTTCTTTTTCTGGAGCTTTGTTCTGATCTTTCACTTGGGACATTTTGTCTCCTCACTTTGACTGCCTCCCTATGTTTGTTTCTATGTATTAGGTAGAGCTGCTATGTCTCCCAGTCTTGGTAGAGTGGCCTTATGTAGTAGGTGTCCTGTGGGGCCCAGTGGCACAGTCTCCCTGGGTCACCTGAGCCAGATACTCCAGGTGTGTCCCTTGTGTAGATTGTGTGTGCCCTCCTGTTGTAGTTGAGCCTTGATTGCTGTTGCTAGGTCGGTAAGAGGGATTGACTCTCAACCTGATTCATTATGAGGACTAGCAGTGACCATAGTGGAGGATCCATTGTGCCTTATAAGGGCTGACTTTATAGAGCAGGATTCACTTTAATGGGGCTCTGATGCCTGCAGAGTCTGCCCTTTGGCTGTGTTGTTTGTGGAAGTGGTTGGGTGGTACTCTGGTGTGGCCTGAAGCTGGCCACTAGGTGTGTTGGTTCGGGGGCCTCTTGGAGGAGGGGTGCTCTGGTGCAGGCCAAGGTTAGTTGCTGCCTGTGCTCTGCCCACAGCCACTTGGTATAAGCTACAAAGTGATCTGCAGATGATTGCCACCTGTACTAAATTGGAAGTGCCTGGGAGAGGCTAAGCTACAACCGAGGTTGGCTGCCGTTAGTGCTGGACTTAGGGTGGCTTAGCAGGAGGTCGGGGGCACACTGAAGCCAGATGCTGCTTTTTTGGTGTTTGTGAACTTTTGAGAGATGTTAAGGAAGTCCGGCCAAGACAGGTCATTTGTATGGAAAACCACTGGAAACACTCGAGTGGGCCCACAATTGCGTGGGGCTGAGTCTCAGGGAATGACCAGGGTGGGGCAAATAGTGTTAGCCAGGTTGATAGAGACTCAGATATGGTGCCCACCTGCATCTGCACGCTGAGAGTGTGGAGGGCTCAACAAAGGAACAATGGCTTCTGCCGGTATTGTTTGGGAGAAAGCTGCCCCTCCAACCCTCACCCTGAAGCCAGACAGTTCAGGCCTCCCTGTATGTTCCCGGCACTTTTTGAGCTGCTGCCCCATCACTGGATCTCAGAGCAAGTAAGTCTGTTAGTGAGTTAAGTTCATGTGCAGAGCCCTTTAAGCGAAGCACCTTGGACTCCAGCCGGCCTCTGTCTCAGCCACAATCTCCACTGGTTTTCACTGCCAGAAGTTATAAGAACTTCTCTGCCCAGCACTGAAACCCTGGGCTGGTCAGCTGGTGTAGGGCTGGAACACCTCTCTCCTCAGGAGAGACCTCTGTAGCAGGGTATCTCTCCTGATTCTTAACTGACAGATGTGGATGTTGGACCAGCTTGTTCAGCGTCTCTGACCCTCCCACCAGTCTCAAGGTGACTTCTGTATATCCTTAGTTATAGGATTTCTGTTCAGTTAGACTTCAGGTGATTCTCAGTGATGGTTGTTCTCCAGTTTAGTTATAATTTTGATGTGGTTGTGAGAGGAGGCAAGTACAGCATTTACTTACTCTGTCATCTTGACCGGGGCAAATACCTGTTTCAAGGGTATGAATTTTTGTTTGTTTTATTCACAGATGAATCCCGAGTACCTAGAACAGTGCCTGATACACAGTAGACACACAGTAAACATTTGTTGAATGAATAAGTGAATAAATGAATGTCTCAACATAAATGTTTTCTCCTCTGTGAAGCCTTCCTTGAGTCCCATGTGCCTTGACACCTCAGTTATAACAATTTGGGGAACCACTGTATGTTTGCCTTGGCCCTCACTCTGAGAAACCCTGAGGGTCATGGATGAAATCAAGTTTTTTCTTAATGTAGTACTGGCCTTAGCCCAGTGTTTGGCACATATTAGGTGCTCAGTTAATGGGTGTGGGAGGGAAACATTCATGAGCACCTACTGAGGCCCCTTTATGTTTGTGCTCATATGTACCTAAGATTTGGCATTAAGAAATGGACTCATTCTGCTTAGACCTTAACTCCGTCGAATCACATTAGTAAGAATGATTCAAGGTTACTGAATAAACTCCCTTTTATCTCCATCCCACACTACTCCTATATATCCAACTGTCATCTTAATCTCTCCACCAGTATGTCGTCCCCACACACCCAGCCTTTGTGTCCAAAACTGCACTCCTGTTGGCCTTCCACACCATAAGGTGCTCCCCTCCTGAGTTCCCTGCCACAAGAAATGGCACCTTTCATCCATTCATCCAAGCTCATGACAGAAACACGTATTTCATCCCTTTCAGTTGCTAAGTCCTGTAGATTTCTACTTCTTAAGTATCTCTCAAATAAGTCCTCTCCCACCATCCCCATGGCCTTAGTGCAGATCTCATCTGGCCTCACCTGGACTTAGGTAACTATAGCCTACCCAAAGCATCTTGCTTGCTCCCCCCACTCAGACCTCCTCTGTACCTCAGCCACAGTGACCTTTTTAAAATGCAAATTTAATCATATTTCTTCACTACCTTTGATCCTTACGATGAAATGGAAGGAAAAGGAGAACTTAGCATTTGCTGGGCATCTATCATATGCCAGTCACTGGCAAATGCTAGGTATTGTCACATTAATTATCCGACTGAGTTATCACAACAACTCAGAGAAGCAAAATGAGTCTTGGAGAAATAAAATGCCCAAGGTCACATGGCTAGGAAATTGTGGAGCCTGAATTCAAATCTAGATCTTCTGACCTTAAAATCCATTTTCTTTCCAATGTATTCCTTTGCTTCAAAATCCCTTGGCCAGTGTTCTCTGTCATGTGCCTCCTCCTACATTTCTAGTACCATGGCCCGTCATTCCTCTCTATTCAAATGCATGTTTCTTAGACGTGTTATCTTAGACATGCTTAGACATTGTGCTTTCGTGCTTCTGTGCTTATGACATTTGATTCCCTCTTCTCTTAAATGCCTTTCTCTTTCTTCTCTATCTAGTGAACTATTATTCAGCATTTAAAACCTAACTGTAATGGCATCTCTTCCGTTAAGCTTTCCCAAATTGACTTACCCAAGAAAAGTAATTGTTTCTTTACCTATGTCCTCAAAGTGTGAATCGTATTCCTGGGAGACAGAAGAGTGTATTGATTAAGACCATGGGCCCTGGGAGCAGACTCTGAGGCTTAGAATTCCAGCTCCTTTTATTACCATGAGCTATGTCACCTTTGGCAAATAACTGACTCTCTTTGTGCCTTGCTTTCCTTACCTGTAAAATGAGAATGATACTTCATAATAAGAATTAAATGAAATATGTAAATAGTGCCTGATATAAGTGCTCAGTAAATATTAGATTTTATTATTGTTGGTCTGTTGCCTCTGATGCACATTTGAACCCTGATATGCATTTTTCCTTTCTTGATGATTTAATCCATGTCTCTAATATAGCACATGCTAAGTGTATTATAATCACTTACTTGCATACCGGCTCCAGGAGGGCAGATGACCCAGCTAGTAAGCAGCAGGGGAAAGATTCAAACTAAGGTCTGAAATAATTCAAAAGCCAATGCTCTTAACTATTATACGTTGGAGCATGTCCCTCGGGTCATTTTCGTCTGAATCTCAAGTCTCAGCTGGGAGCAACGAAACTACACCAGGTTATGCTGCAGAGATGAGTCAAACATGGTCCCTGCCCTTAGGGATTCCCAGTGGAGCTCAGAACATAGATTGGAAGACAGATACGTGAACAGGTCATTCAAACAGTGCGGAGTGCTGTACCTGAAGTCAGACATGTTGCTGTGAGAACACAGAGGAGAATAGTGATGAAAGCTTGGAGGAGTAAGGCTTTGCCAAGAGTTAGCATTAGTGCAACTCTCGACTTGCACTGGGCAAAGGACATCCTAGGCACAGTGAATGGTGTGAGGGATGTCTGAACATGTGCAGCACTAAAACAGAGCTGGCCTGTGGACAAGGGGCATGAGGAAAGATTGCAGAGATCCAGCCCAGCTGCGACCAGCCTGGAATGCCCTTTCAGTTTTGCCCCAGGGAGTAGTAGTTTTTGTTTTGTTCCATCATATCTGAGGTTTACTAAGATCTGATGGGAAGAAACATCCTATTCACCACCATTGTGACTGCGGAAATAAATTTGACAGCTGACTTCTCCTTCCTTCCTGGTCATCGTGGAGCAGTGTGGCGTAGTAGTTAAGAATGTGCTCTGAAGGGCAGAATTCAAATCCAAGCTCATTTGCTGTGTGACCGCAGGCAGGTTACTTAACCTCCTTGTGCCTTGGTTTCTTCATCTGTTCAGTGAGAATAATAATATTTAAAATTCTCAGAATAGGGTCTGCCATGTGGTGAGGGCTATGGAAGAGTTGGTATTGTTATTATTAGGCCAATCCAGACTAGGATCTTGGCCCATCCTGTCTGTGTGCCAGGTTCCAAGACCCTCTCTAATTCTCACAGTGAGGGGCACAGTGAGTACCAGGGCCTGCAAACTGGACCAACTCACAATAGCCTCTTGTCTCTTGCCCACAGCGGACGATGCCTGTGGCGGTACCCTGCGGGGCCAGAGCGGCATCATCTCCAGCCCCCACTTTCCCTCGGAGTATCATAACAATGCTGATTGCACGTGGACCATCCTGGCCGAGCTGGGAGACACCATTGCTTTGGTCTTCATTGACTTCCAGCTGGAGGATGGTTACGACTTTCTGGAAGTCACGGGGACCGAAGGCTCCTCCCTCTGGTAAGCACCATCTCCCACCCTGCCCCCTCCCCCGTCTACAACTGTGGTTTACTGGGATGCAGTCTCCCTGGCTCCTGCACCTTCAGCCGAAGGCCCCTTTGTCACTTCTACACCCACTGTTGGAGAGTTTTCCTCTCATCATAATGAGACATCACTGCATATTTTTAGAGCTGGGGTAAATTTTTACAGTAATTTTGGTATCTGATTTGAAGCATGTACATATGCTGAAGAATTTCATGATGGGCTGTGGTTGAGTAACCAGCATTAAGACTGAAAATGTTCTCGTCTCAGGATATGGACAGGGTCTTGGCGAAATTATTTGAAATATTGTTCTGTTTCTGGAAGACAAAATCATAGCATCCAACAAAGGGAATAGAACCTTATGTGGCAATTGCTTTCTCACTCACGGCCCCTGAGGCGGGAAAGGCACGCTGTCTTGGTTTCTAAAGGGAAGGACTAACCTGCTCCCTATCATTCTTGCTTTACAAAAAAGTGTGGGTTTTTCTGTGCTGTGCTCCACCTGCCATGGAGACTCTTGACATTGATGGGCTCGGGAGGAGAGGGATGATGAAGATGCCTGCAGTCTTCCAGACTTGGACCAGTGGTACATGGCTTCAGGAAATCCAGCTTCCTGTTAGAATGACAAGCCTGTTTGAGAGTCGTGGTGTGGCGTTTTGAACACTCTCTTGTATTGTCCTTGTGGCTGTCTTATCAAGGCATCGGAGAACCTGTGTCTGCACATCAGGAACAAGTAGAAGGATGTGTCCAGATGTGCTTCAGACAAGATGGGCATCTTTGCGGACTTTGTTGCTGCCCAGTGCCAGGGGAAGGCAGAGCTCAGTGCCTGCGGATGAGGGCAGAGTGGGTATCACAAGGACTCTGAGTGAAGCAGGAAGTGTCAGGGAAGGACAATGCCTAAGAAAGCACAGTGGTCAGTGGGGCTAAGGAGAACGGGGAAGGAGGAGAAAGGAAGGGGAAAGGAAAAAACAGGAGGCAGGGGCACATTCATTGAACACTGTATCCCAGGTTTTGTGCTGTGATAAAAACACCAGTTGAGGAAGACCTGGATCTTTGAAGGCAAGAAAATCAGACAAGCCCTGGGTAAGAGCCGAGTGTGACTATTTGAAAGGGATAAAGTGGGATTGGACTCCTACCAAACATAGACTCTGAGGTTGGGGACCAGTGTAGCCCAGAGAACTCTCCTGGTACAGGGGGAGGCAAACCAACCTGGGAGTGGTCAGAAGACCTTGGCGTCGTAAGCTTATCTGTTAATTTGGCTCAGTCATTTCCTACCCCGGATGGGGTGTTGAGAGGCGCGCGGGTTAGCTGAAAAATTAAATCGCCGTGTGGAGGCTGATGTTCTAGTCTGTGGGCATTTGGATATTTGGAGCTAGGAGTTGGCTGAAAGTCTGGATGGACCCTTCACGGAACTAAAACCACAGTGACCTGCCCAGCCTGAAGACCCTTTGTCTCCCTGCCTCTTTTTGTAAAATACTCATTTTTGTGATTATAAATGTAACACATATGCTCCTAAGAGAAAACATGAAAAATATAAAAAGTTATAGAGAAATGAATAACGAGCATTAAAATTTTGCCGTATTCCCCTTTGGCCTTTTGCTTTGCCTAGATCAAACTGACTGGCTACTTATATATATTTTAATATTACAAAATTAGGATCTTAATATATCTGTAGTTATGTATTTTTAACTTAACGTTAGATCATGAAAATTTTTCCATATCATTACAGATGCCTCCAAAATATAAGAGGTGTGATAGTGGTATCATTTATTATCAACATGTGGTAGGCTGGTTCTAAGCTCTTACAGCTATAATTTCATTTCATCTTTATCATAAGTCTGTGAAGTAGATGGCACAATTTTCCTCCTTTTACAGATGAGGAAAATGAGGTCCAGAAAGGTTACGTGACATACTTGCAGTCACACAGCTAGTAAGGAGAAGAGCTGGGATTCAACCCCAGGTTCAACCTCAGAAGCTCATCTTCTTAGCCATGACAACTTGAAGGATCGTCATGGCCTCATGGCATTCCGCGTCAGACCGCGCGCACTTCCCTCGCCCGATCTCTTGTTAGGTTGTTTTTACTTCTGTAAACAGATGCCAAGATGAATATCCCTGCCAGTTCTCTCTCTTCCGGTCTCAAGCCCTCCTTGACTCACTTGTTTATCCGAGGGCCAAATGGTCTCCCACGGCTTCTGCACCCCAGGTGTGGGTCTACATGTTGTCCAAACTTCTGGAGTGAAACAAATCTGAAAGAGTATTCCTTTTCCTATTAAGTCACTCAGTGGGGAAGGAATTAAGCAGAGGAAATCGTTAGGGGAGTCATTCAGAACTCTTTGCTATAAGATTAAATTATAATTATTTACAGGGCTGGTGTCACCACTGCCAGGCAGGATGCATTTCTTATTGTAATTTATCCTTGCTTAGTAATCTAATCATGAGTAAACAAACTTGGAGGCGCAGGACGTATGTGCAATGGATCCGCTCTCTTCCCTGCCCATTCCTTTATGGATCCCTGGATTCTTGTGAAAATGTGATGCTGCTGGTTTATGAGTGTACTGCTTTGATCAGCTTATATTAAGACCTTAGGATGTTCTCTTGAGGCAGAAAAAGACAGCAGATCCTGTTAGAAAAGATGGATTTGAATGACTGGGCATCCCTTCACCTAGTGAGAGGACAGAGACACCTTTGAGGGGAAAAAAATCCACTTCCTCCCTCCCTGGATAGTAGGTTCCCCCTGATTGGGAAGAGGAGGTGGCATGGAATGTCCTGACTCAGTTTCCACATGCCTCTCTTCTCCTAAGTGGGGCAACAGGAGAGTTTTAATTAGGGTTCCAGTTTGAATTTCATGAACGAGTAAAATTTCTAAACAATTAGGGGAACATAGGGTTGATAATTTTTTATTTTGCCAAGTAAGGATATTAGGGAAAAAAACCCTGCCAAGTCCTCAGAATGTTATTGCATAAAACAAAGGACAATTCAAAGCCAAAAATGTGGCAGAATATAATCCATTGGCAGCCTGGGGCTGATTAATGAAAGATGGGGCCAGAAGGAGTACACCTGCATAGCGGCGTGTGCGCAGCGCCATAGAGTCCCGTGATGTATGTACATCAGTCAGTGTACTGCCACTTCCTGTTTAAGGGTCCACGACTGGCCTCTGGGAATCTGACTGTACCTCTTTTGAATAGGAAAAGCCTGCTATGGTGAGCACTGAACCCTGTAACTGACATGTCGAGGAATTCCCTAGTAACTTACTCTCCCTAAAGTTAATTGCATTTTTGTGTGTGTATGTATTGCTGATCATGAGTAAACACTGGGTTTGAATTGACTGAGAGTTACAATCCAGACAGTGTATTTTGTATTATTCCCTTACTACACACACACACACACACACACTCAGTCACCCCTCACGTACAACCCTCCAAGTACCCACCGTATATACATTACCAGGTCAACCTCCTTACACATGCATCCTTCTGTCTCTGGTTCACTGACCTCAATTCAGGGGTCAGATTTTCTCTCAGTGATCCTTCTTGGAGGTGGCGGTTATTTGTTCTGCTCTGACCCAATCAGTTGACTATGACCTTCATGGAGCCCCATCCTTCCCCTCAAATTCTAGGAAAATATTCTCACCATTGCTAAAGTTCCTCGTGAGGCCCTTGGACTTTTCAGAGCGCTGGAACTGAGGGATGCAGAGATTCCTTTAAAACCCAGGGTTCTGGGTCCCTGGACCCTAGAGGCCCCTGGAGGTGTCAGAATCATGTTACTGTAATGAGTAGAAGCGATTGCCAGCCCATTACACAGCCAGCCTCTCCACTGTGGAAAAAATCAGTGAATGAAAGGCCACTGGGAAGCCACCAGACCCAGGATCTGCCCCCTCCTCTCTCTGCTTCATGCTCCACACATTCCATTTGAGTCCCTCCAGGCTCTTCCTCTGGATTACAAGAAAGGAGAGAAAGCCAGACATCCTCCGCAGGAAAAGGGGAGCTGTCTGTGTAGTCCCTACAGGATTAGGCATTGAGCCTGTGTCTTGGCACCTGACCAGGGAACGAGCCAGCTCGGGAGGCCGCTGAATTTGGCTCCACCAGGGAAAGACCCAGCTCGGAAGTCCGATGACTTGGGCTCAAAACCCAGATCCATCTCTTAACAGTTGTGTAATCTTGGGATATTTACTAACTTCTCCGAGCCTCAGTTTCCACATCACCTACAAAGCGTGTTGAAAGAGCTAAATATGTAAACCGGTGCCTGGCTCATGGTAGGTATAATACTTCTGGGGTGGGGACCAGACTCAGGGGCTCACTCTTTGAGAGATAAGGGGTAAATGAGATGAGGCATCTCCAGCAACTTGGAGCCTCATTGGCCCTATTCCTGGTGCCTGCGCTGAGGCTGTCTTCCTGGCCTGCCAGCCCTGTGGCATCTCACCAGGTAGAAAGGCATAACCTGCTCACTCTGGCTGATCCAGTTCCCAGGGGAATTGCCTGGACACGAGATGAGGTGGGCTGGTACAGAGCCCCTGGGTCAGACTAGAGGATGCCCTTGCAAAGGTCAGAAGTGGGCAGTGATTTTGCTGGAATTGTCTTCCCAGAGCCGTACTTTGTGAGCACATTGTGGGCAACGTCACCTCTTCTCTGCGTGGACTCAGCCCCAGACTGAGTCAATTAAGTGCTTTGTTAGAAAAGAGGAAGAGGATTCAACTAAACTACCACTGGCTTCCCTGTGCAGAGCTAGCACCTGGGGGAACTCCACTGGGCGTCAGGCACAGCACCTGCCCTGAGGGGCCCATAAGGTCTGGGAAAAGGGGCAGAGCATATGGGGAGATGATCAAGGAGGCCACTGTCTAAGACAGAGAGGGACGGACGTCTCTATCTGGGACCTCCAAGTGCTGGATGCAGCATTGTATCCGGGGGTTATGTATGGTGGAAGGAGTTCAGAGCTCCTTCTCATCTGTGGGATTGCTGTGTAGACCCTAGAACCATCTCTCATCT